AAAAAAAAAAAGAGAACCCCTCCCCCGCACTCATTCCCGCCCCCAGCCCCATTCCCCATTCCCCATTCCCTTGTCACGTTTTTTTCTTCTTATTCTTCTTCTGTTGTGTTCAATCACTTCTTCTTTCTTCAATATTATTTTCTGACAGATCTGCTTCTTCGAGGTTCTTGTTCTTTATTGAGAAAAATTGGTGAAAAAAGAACAAAACATTTGGAGATCGACCCTTACACTATTGAAAAACACTTGACCATAATTTGCTAAATTGGCGAATGCATTACTTATGTTGTATGGGCAGAGTGTTGGCCAGTCAAAAACTCTCATGTCCACAAGATGAGAGTAGCAGAAATGAGGATGTTGAGATGAATGTGCGGACATACCAGGATTAATAAGATTATGAATAAGATATTCGGGTCAGGGTAGGAGTGACCCCGGTGGAGGACAAGATGCGGGTAGTCGAGAGTGTTTCTTTTGCATACCAGTAATATTGGTGTTAATCTTGTATTCAATTATTGTTAGATTTCTATTAGTACATGTTCCTTTCACTTTGCTTTTCTTATTATCTTGTTGTTGTTACTACTTGTTACTAATGCTTTCTATCACTTTCCTTGAGCCGGTAGGGGTAAGACATGCGTACACACTACCCTCCTCGGACCTCACTTGTGGAATTATACTAGGTTTGTTGTTACTGTTGTTGCTTATTTACTTCAAGGGAGATTTTTAGTCTATTTGCCACTGTTGGTAAGTAAAGATGAGTGTTTTAAGCTTGTTTTCTTCATCTGTAGTGTAGATATTGCAGATTTTCTGCCATTTTTTAAACTTCCTGATATAATCCTAGGTAATTGTTTCAAACATCCTAAAAGTCCATTCAAGACGTTTCAAACATCCTCTCAGGATGATGATTATTTTTACCAGATTTAGTTTAAAAAGTAGCATATCCATTCAAACCATCCAAAAAACAAATAATATTCACATAAATAAATTTAAACAAAAAAAATTAGCAAATCATCCATTCATACCAGCAAAAAAAATATAAAAGTATCCATCAATTACAAAGCATATCATAGTTCCATGTTCTTGTGAAAGATGTCCACAGCTATTTTCTCACCAAACTCGCTATTCATCTTGTCCATCATAGTGTTGGTGATGAGGTGCTCAATGAACATTAAGCACCACACTCCACAACTATTATAGGTGTCATCACGTGGAAGATCAAAAAGCCTTTTAGGCAGTCATTCATCGTTCAGCGATTCTTCAGGCAAGTGCATGAAAAGGCCATTGGATCGGAGGTATCTTGGGAATAATGTGCCGATGGAATACAAAAATTTACCCAACTTATCATCGATGTACATAGAGTATTGCAGTCATAAACAAGCATCCTCGACTATTCAATAAGAAATACAATTATGACATAATGATTCATCTCAATGTTGTATACACAGATGATCCTCTTCACACCATCCCAAGGTGGACCACCACATAAAGGCATTTTTCCTCGGGCGTACTCGAGATCATCCTATTGAAATTGATACTCATTTAATATCATGGACAAAGATGGAGCAGCATTCACCTTGTCCACCCGATCACATAGAGTATTATAGCATTCCTTCAAGATATAAAAAAATTTACAATCTAGGATGATATCTGTTTAATCATAGTGCTTGGAGTACCTTTTGTGTCTAATACGCATAAGGGCCAAGAAATTCTCCATATGTTGCAGGATCAAAATTAAATTACTAATCATATATACCGGTATTAATTATCCATCGGGAAAGTAAAAAATAAACCAGATCAGCTACATATCCATAAGGATGTTTCAAACATCCTCTAAGATGTTTGAAACTGCAAAGTGAAAATAATCAAGTCAAACATCCATAATAATGTTTAAACATCTTATCGGATGTTCAAAACTGAAAGGTAATAATAAATCAAGATGAAAAGTTTATGAATATGGTACCAACCAAAATTGAAAATCTTGCATATTCTTGAAGCCTTCATAATCGAATACCCCACATGCATATTATGTCTGAGGCCCCTTATTTTTGATAAATGCCATGAGGGCATTTTTCCTCTCCCAGTCAATCGGTTTATAAATGTCAACTTTCAGCCTCTCCTCACTGACGGTTATGGAGGTTTCTTATTCCTGGCCCTTTTCAGCATCCTTTCCATTTTTCTTCCTGTTAGCGGAAACGTAAAAGAAAGAACACAAGATTTAACGTGGTTCGGATCAAAATAATCCTACGTCCACCAGAGAACAGTTGTTTTTTTAATATTAACAAAGGAAGGGGAGAGTTCCCAATTACACTTAAGAGAATTTCTCTCTTAACTCTGTACTCACTACAATGTGTTGTATTATTTTTTGGATGATTTCTACAAATGAAGGAGTGCATCTATTTATAGAGGTAAAGACCTCCTCTTGATGTCATTGGTGACATCAAACTACCTCCTCTTGATGTCATGGGTGACATCAAAGGAGGAAGCTTCCTCCTAGCATCCACACCAACTCTTTCCACCAACTCTTCCAATTGGCATGCCATTGTTGACTAAACATAAACCAACA